GCCTAACAATATACTTTGCCATAACGGCTCCTTGGAAAGTTATTTTCATAAGTGAAGTATTAATTTGTTTGAAAATTACTGTGTAAAGGCATCGGGCAGCCCTTACTGGATTATAGTGTATAATCCAGTTATAGGATGGTAGGGGCAAAATGTGGTCTCATTATTTAGGATGATTGAATTATGAAAAGGAAAAATTAAAAACTAGAAATTGGAAAGAATAAGGTAGGGTCCCTCGGGTGTGGTTTGCTCAACGAGTGTTGTGAAGACCCAGGGTCTTGGGAACTGAGCTGCGGGGTGGACACGTGTGGAAGGGTCAGCGTGTCGGTGGTATTGCTGAGAGTGACCATGGAGTCCGACAGTGAAGGGTGGTCCCGTCCTGCGCTGGCCCCCCTGCCATCGCTGTGCTCGCATCCACAGTGACCGCTGTGCACAGTGTGTGTCACCAGCCTGGGGTTTGGCTTCCGGCGCTGCTTCTGACAGTTGATCCCTTCACACGGAGTTTTCGTTGTCTGAGTTTTGGAAGGAGATTACAGGCCTTTCTTCCTAGTCTCTCTTGGTTTGGAAGTGCTACTGAACCTTGTCCAAGGGCTGCCTTGTTGGTATTCAAAATAATGGTGACACAGCTTCCAGCATCGCAGCAGACAGAGCACCACAGCAGGGCAGACAGACAGACAGATAGATAGATGGACAGTAGGGATGTGTTGGGCTGCTGTTGCCTCTAACTCCTAGCAATCTCATGAATAACAGATCTGAACCTCATCATCCTCAACATCTCTGACACGTTCAGGTCCCTTCTTTCAGTCACTGTGTCAGTCTACCTGGTTGAGGGTCTTCGTTTTTGTTGACCCTCCGCTGTTTCCAGCATGATGTCTTTTTCCAAAGACTGACTTCTCCTGACAACATGCTCAAAGTATGTGAGATGACGAGTCACCACCCTTGGTTCAAGAAGAACCCATCTGGTGGAGGTCTCTGGGTAGGAGATGTCAGTGCCCCCCAAGGAGGACCATTTCTGGTCACGGTGGTCAGGGAAAGCATGTCAGTGGAGGGGAACGTGTTTTGGGGCCAGAGGATGATGCTCTTGCTGGGGAGAGAACAGAAGGGCTGGGGGCATAAAGACAAAATCCAAACCTCTGCCTTAAGTCAGTTCCAGCCATCGTGACCCTGTAAGACAGAGAGGAGCTGCCCACAGGGACCCAAGGCTGTGTTCACAGGAGCAGGTGGCCACATCTTCCTCAGACCTGGTGATTTCAAACCACCAACATTTAGGTTAGCAGCGCAGCGCGTAACCCACCACACTGTGAGGACCCCAGGGGTCCTTCACTTACTGGCTGCTTTTGAGTTGATTGACACACACAGCAGTGCTGTCAGGCTGCTCAGGCTGTCCGTCTTCAGACAGGAGGCTGCCTGCCTTTCTCACTCAGAGTAGCTGGTGAATTTGAGCTCCCAAAGACGTGGTGCGTTTTGGTTAGCAGCACAGTGTGCTGTGGATCATGCTACTGGAGCTCACGGGGGCTGTGCCAGCAATGAGCCATGGACCACATCACGGGGGCTATGGCAGCAGTGCGTGGTGGATCACATCACCCATAGCTCGAGGGAGCTGTGGCAGCAGTGAGCGGTGGACCACGCCACCGGAGTTCACGGGGGCTGTGGCAGCAGTGAGCGGTGGACCTCGCCACCGGAGTTCACGGGGGCTGTGGCAGCAGTGAGCGGTGGACCACGCCACTGGAGTTCACGGGGGCTGTGGCAGCAGTGAGCGGTGGACCACGCCACCGGAGTTCACGGGGGCTGTG